CGGGCACAACGGAGTATGACACCAAATGGGCCAACAGAGATGGTGAGCGTGGTTGGATAGCCTCGGTGATAGCCAAGGGGACCCCTGCTTGGATTGACCCTATGCACAAAATATTCAAGGAAGATCTCACACGGGAGGGTAGATTCTGGCTCAGCTTTGTCACCTCATGTTTGATACCGTCCCGAAATAAAACTGATATAAGTATTGAGAAAGCTCTCCTCATTGCATGCATTATGACAGGGATCAAAATTGATGTGGGTGACATTATCTCCCGAGAGATAGGGGTCCGGGCTAACCAGACAGCCACGTCACTTCCATTCCCATGCTTGATCACAGCCCTCTGTAAGGTTGTAGAGGTCCCTTCAATGCCACACACTGACAAGACGAGGAAAGCGCTGAAGGATATTGATATTACGCGCATTAGTGACGTGGTGCCACAGGCTCCCCTAGAGGTTCCGATCCAGACTCCTGCTGATACAGAGATCCCAGACTCCCAGACTCTTACTTCTCCTCAAGCCACAGTGGTCTCCATTTCTACTCCATAGCCCACCTCTCAGGCCACCATTGCACAGCCTTCTGCTGCACTGCCATCTATTTCGAGGCTCGATATCTTAGCTCAACATGCAAATGCTAAGGTAGACTGGCTTCTGAAGGACCTCCCCACACTCATCAGGCAGGCATTGACTCCTATATAGTCCTCAGTGACAGCCCTACAACAGCAGCAAACATCTTATGAGGATCGCTTGAAGCAGCTTGAGGTGCGGATTGAGAAGATAGAGCGGGGTGAGGTTGGAGGCTTGCCGAAGCTCCGTGATGATGTTGACACACTGAAGACTGAACTCCCAAAATGCAGAACCTGGAGTTCGACCTATCCTCCTTCATGCCCAAGGAAGGAGAGCAGGGAGCGGGCACTTCCGTGCCTGGTCTAGATTTTGATTTTTCCACCTTGATGATAGCTCCTGCACCTCAGACTGTCAGGGCTTCCCAGACTCCAGTTTCTCCTGCACACATTGACATCCCTTCTGGGGAAGATTCCGAACACTCTGCAGAGTCCGATAGTGGGGAGACAGATGAGGGGGAGACTGATGAGGAGTCAGAGTCCGAGGAAGATGAGGGCCCTCTAGAGAAAGGTAAGCAGGTTGCTGCTCCTATAGTTGCGGAGGAGGAACAAGCAGATGTTCAGAAGGCAATAGAACATTTGCTAGCAGACATGGTCGTCCAAGCAAATCCATCGACCACTCAGCCATCAGCGGGCGAGGCTAGCAGCTCACAGGCCCCAGCTCTAGTGTCGGGCCAGTTGGAGATCCCTCCTCCATCAGTGGAGGTCACTCCTCAGGCCGAGATCTCATCGGTCCCAACTTCAGCATCAGAGGATGGCCCCACCATCATTCAGCCGGCTTCCGACTCCCATAGCACTTAGTGTGCCTCTGGGAGCCCCTAAGCTCTGTTTTACTTTCTTATGCATTGGGGACAATGCATGCTTTTCAGTTCGGGGTGGGATAGCCTTGTACAAACTTTTTGTGAACTGTTGTACATGTTTTTGTGTTATATAAGCAAATCTCTATCCTTTTGTATATACTTGTGTTGTTTTCGTACATGTGTTATCATTGTATATACCTGTGTTATTTTTGTACATATGTTATCTTTCTATATAAAAAAACCAAAAACAAGTAGATTGTGGATGCATGTTCATCTTTAGTAATTAGCAATGAATTCCCCTTGGTTTTTCTTCGTCGAGTATTTTCCAAGGGTGTAATAGTAGAATCAGGGCAGCAGGATGAAACATTTTGACAGGTTTGGTGTAATTGTTTAGTTTCAAGCATGTATGCCTGTAAATAACCTATACCCTTCCATTAATATATATATATAGAAAAAAAGATCAACTGTGTGAACTTGAGGCTCGCTCTTTGACTCTATGTTTACTTAGAGTCATACATGTAAATATGATGAAAGCTTCGAGTTGCCAAGTGTTGACTCGAGGGCTAAAGCTATGTTGAGTCAAACAGTTCGTGTGCCATGTGTGTGAGTCTTTGTATAAATAATTCTTGTGTTTACTTATGCCATCTAGAACTTGCCCGGTTGGTCTTTCGATGCTAATGATAATTACATTTGGTTGGAGAAATGACCTTAGGCAGTCTTTGTGATTTTGGAAAACCAGTTAGCCTTTCAAGCTACCCAATGTATAGATATTATCACTAGTTACCCCATTTGAGCCTTTAACCTTTTCCTTGGCCACCTCATTTCAGACCTTTCCCATTGTAAAATAATTTCCTCTTTTGAAGTCGTCCCTCCTTGAATATCGAGAATGAGGCTAAAAGCCTTAGTTGGGGGTGTGGTGTCAAGCCGGAAATTGGCAAGGTTGTACAGTGAGTGTAGGCAAGTGTACCTCAAGGTATTCATATGAAACTATTCAAGCTCCAAAAGAAAAATAAAAAATAAAAAATAAAAAAATAAATGAATAATAATACAAGAGAAAAGAAGAAAAAGAAAAGAAAAGAAAAAGAGATGTATGTATATATATAAATATGGAGCCTTGAAGAAAATTAGAGAGGTATTTAAGGTGGTTCAATGTTGGAAATTAGGGGCTAATGAGGGCTATGTGGTTTGAAAAGAAGCAAAGAGCAACAAGAAAGAAAAATGTGAGTAGTGTTCAAGAAGGGTATAGTCACTTGTACCGAAATGTTTAACCGACCCTTCCCTAAACCTACATTACAAGCTTAAAAAGTCCTTATGGGATCTCCAACCCAACGTTCTTAGAATAAAGTGATGAATTAAAATAAGGGCAAGCCTATGGCATGGCATGTTGTAACACTTGAAACTCTTTCTGAGAGTGAGTGTCTTTGTGAATCCGTCCCTTTTGTGTCATTGTAAATATTGTGAGTCTGGGACTTTCTTTCTAGTGAGGGCACATGAATTGTGAGGTTGGACAGAAGTTGAGTTCTTGAAGTCGAATGCAAGTGCACTCAGCTGAGAGTAACATTTTTTCAAATTGGTCGAGGCTCAAAATTTCACAAGTTGATTAGTTTCTTTGTAAATAACAATGATGGTTCAGGAAGGGTAAATAAACAAAAGTGCATGCTTGTAGTACTGACAACTAACACCATCCACGGTCACTATTGTTTCATATCGTTTAGATGGAGTCTAGAATTGGATAGTGTCATTTTAGTTGCTTGAGGACAAGCAAGAGTTTAAGTTGGGGGTGTTGATGTGCCGAAGAATTTCGGCACATTTAATACAAATTGCTTAGGTTTTAGCTTGTTTTAAATGCAATTATCTTTTATACTTATGTAATTTTAGTGTTTTTGCAGTGTATTAGGTTTAAGGACCTAAAAACATGAAAATGAAATCAAAAAGCTGCAAAAGGACAAGAAAAGAGCAAAATGCGATCGCAGATGAGAAAATTCCGACCGCAAATCCAACATACGGACCGCATAATGCTCAAAGGAATCACAAAGCCCAACAGTCTGTTGGCCAAATTCAAGCGCAAGAAATGCAGTCCATTATGCGACTACATAACAGGTTTGCAGGCCGCATAATGGATCGCAAACTCTCTGTAGAAGTTGCTGAAGGCGGAAAATGCGGTGACAAATGTGATCGCAAATCAATAATGTCGACCGCAGAACCCAAATGCGACGAATACCTAGGAACTAGGGTTTCGAAGATGCGATGGCTGTAACAGTAATGCGGACCGCATGTCTATTATGCGACAGAAATGCGGTCGCATAATTGACCTGGAAGGGTATTTTTATCCGAATTTGGTCCCGAGTGTTGGCCCACTATAAATAGATTTATTGGGGTTTTGTGGGGGCATCTTGTCTGGTTTCTGAGCTACATTCCAACCCTCTAATATTCCTCTCTTTTGGAAGCTTTAGGAGTGAAGAATCTTGCACTTTGTAACCTTTATGGCATTTAATAGTCTCATCTTTTTGTATTTTAGCATGAGTAGCTAACTTTAAATACTAAGGTTGTGGACCCTAAATGGGTGTTTAACATTGAATATATGTATAAAGGTTGGTTGATATATATTTATTTCACATTCTTCACTTATTGTTGGTGGTTTCAAACATTAACAGGTGCCATTAAATTCTTTCTTTACTTGGAAAAGTGAGTTAGAGCTTGGTAGAAGTAAATATCAAAGACTCAAGACTTTAAACCTTGTTTAATAGAATCGCTTAGGAATAAGTGGGTTTTATTTGGCATATATTGATTGTTCTTAATTGCAACTCTTTTATATTTGGAAAAATCATAAAGAGGAAATACTACCCAACTTTTGGAAATTATTGGGTAGTCATTTAGAAATCATTTGCATATATAAAGGACCTTCCATTAGAAATATATCATATTAACACCGATAGCATTACATTCCATTGACGGGAACACAACCTTGATTTCCTTAATCAAATTATTTACATTCTCAACGTTACAATTAGTTATCTCTTCAAATCACAATCATATCATACTCTTGTTACAATTAACGGAATAGAATTACGACTTAAGTCAAGTAGCACACTACTCAAGTAACCTTTTTACGCCTATTCCCTGTGGTATTCAACCCCAACCTTGTTGGGTTATTATATTTGACACCCACCGCCTTACACTATTTAATTAAAGTGTAATTTGAGCGTATCAATATGGTAAAGGGTTCAGTTCCAACTGTGGTGGCTCTTCGATTGACGGCTTAGATAGAGGGGTCTTCCTTTTTTCTAAATGTAATGGCTCGAATTCGAGCTCTCTTTTCTAGTACCCTTCGCCTTCAATATCCAAAACCCACTTCGCCAAGTCCTCACTATTTACCTCTTCTAAAATCATGAGGCAGGCTTCTAGAGGGTCCTTTTCATTTAGTGACTCATCTTCCTCCTCCTAATCACATCCACTGCTTCAATCAGAGAGAATTTAGTAACCTCACTGGGTTTCCTCATGGACTTCTGCACATTGAACGTTATTTCTTCATCGTTCAGTCTCATCTTTAGTTCCCTAGTTTCACCATCAATCAGAGCTCTCTAGGTGGCCAAGATGGGCCTTCCCAAAATTATGGGAATCTCCTCATCAACCTGGCAGTCCAGAATGATAAAATCTACTGAAAACACAAACTTCCCAACCTGCACAAGTACATCATCAAGTATACCTGATGGCCTCTTCACCGTTCGGTCGACTAGCTGTAGTAACATGGATGTAGGCCTTGCTCTTCCAATGCCTAACCTTTTATAAATAGACAAGGGCATCAAGTTTATGCTCGCCCCCGAATCACACAATTCTTTAGCAAAAGCATAACTGCCTATGGTGCACGAAATTGTGAAACTCCCTGGGTTGGATAACTTCTCAACTATAGGTCTTGTCATAACAGTACTGCAGGTCTGAGTCAATGTCATAGTTGCCAAGTCTTGAAAGTAGAACTTTTGAGACATCAAGTCCTTCATCATTTTTGCATAACCAGGCATCTCCCTCAAGGCATCAATCAGTGGGATGTTCACCTGAATCTACTTCAAAATCTCCATGAATTTCTTATATTGATCATCCTTCTGATATTTGGCCAACCTCTGAGGGAAGGGTGCTGGAGGTCTCTTCCTTCCTTTGATTTGGGTGGGATTCTGTTCGGATATTTTTTCAGATACTTCCCCCTGCTCTTGCTTAGTTTCCTTTGTAACCTCTTTTTCTTTGTTTATTTCTTCCTAGGCATGCTGCACTGTTACTTATGTTAGCTTAGTTGACTCATCTACCCCAATTGGTACTGGCACAAGTATCTTGTTTGGTCGACTTTTGCGAGCACTTTTTTGCTCTAGATCAAGGTATTTACTATTTCTTAGACTTATCGCCATCAGCTGCTTTGAGCCCTACTCTTTTGGATTGACATGTGTGTCCGCAGGTAGCGTCCCTTATGGATAATTATTCAGAGCCAAAGATATCTAACCTTATTGAATCTCGGTGCCTTTTATCGCTGCGTCATGTGCTTCAACCTTCTCTTGCATTTTTTCGTTAGACCCAATGAGTTGTTGCATCATTCCTTTAATTTTAGACAACCCATCATCTTGTATCACTATCTGTTGCTATTGGGGCTGTTGATAAGCTAGCTGCTGATTTTTCTAATTGTAACCCTATTGCCTTTGGTAAGGCAAAACTTGACCCTGTGGTCACATAGCTCCAGAATTGTTGTTGTTATTGTACTGCTGTTGTGCTGGTCTATACTGCTGATTCTGCTTCCCCTAATTCTGGCCACCTTGCCTCTGGCCTCCATAGTTGCCCACATAGCTCATATTCTCTTAATAGTTCTGATTGTCACTTTCACCACTCCACGAGCACACATGTGTTTGATTAATGCATGGTGTGCATAATCCTCCATTTGTCGTGTCAACTATGTGCACTTGCTTTTGGCTTGATTCATCAATCTTTTCGGTGAGGATACTCATTTGTGTCATCAGAGTGGCCATATTTTTTCAGCTGTGGAGTTGTGTGGGTCTAGATCTATTGAGTGAACTACAGGAGTGATTGTAGAGTCTCTTGTCATCCATCCTGAGTTTTGAGCCATTTTATCAAGTAAGACCTTACATTCTCTGAATGATTTGCTCAAAAATGCTCCACCTGCTGAAGCATCAACATTGGCCTTCAAGTTGTCTGCTAATCCCATGTAGAACCGTTGCCCGAACATCTGATCAGGAATGTCATGGTGTGGACACATGACCAAATCCACTTGAACCTCTCCCACATTTCTTGTAGTGTTTCAACTGGTTTCTGCCTGAAGCTTAATATCTCATTAACTTGCTTGGCAGTCTTATTGGGTGAAAAGAACTTGTTCAAAAACTACTTAACTAATTCCTCCCATGTAGTGATGGAGTTTATGGGGAGCAAATTAAGCCAAGTATGGGCCTTTCCCGTCACTCATAATGGAAACAACAATAGTCTTATTGCTTCTAGTGTCACATTCGATTGCCTTTGCATGACACAAATCGACAGAAAATATTTCAGATGCTATTGTGGATCTTCAATATAAGACCCCGAGAACAGTCCCTTGTTATGCAATAGATGTAGCATGATGTTTGTGATTTCAAATGATTTCGCTTGTATTTGAGGGACTACAATTGCGGTTGCCAGATATTCAGCGGTAGGTTGTGCCCAATTGCTTCTAGCACAAGAGGTTCCGCACCCTGATTGTACGAGTCTTTCCCAATGTTTCTATTGTTTTGATTTTATATGACGTCACCCATGTCTAGTTTGATTTGTTCTATTGAGTTATGTTATTGTTTTTCTTTCTTGTTTGCTCGATTTAGTGCCTTGAAGGATTTCTCAGGGTCTGGTAATGCTTTATACAATTCACCAGTTCATGAGGAGTTTCTAGGCATGCACTAGTAACACACAAGATTACAAACGTTAGAATATCAATATAGTGAATTTCAAGTCAAGAAAGTTGACTAATCTAAGAATTCTAGTAATTCTTCTAGCCATAATTAATATCACACTTAATTCCCCAGCAACGACGCCAAAATTTGATCACGCGCAACTATGCCCCCAAAGAGGTCTAGCGGTCGTTGCAAATATAATCCGGTGTACAAGTCCGACGTCGAATCCCACCGGGAATTATCCTACTAATCACAACCACTAGTTTCACAAGAATTCAAGTAATCAACCTTCAGAAATATTGAATAACGATTTGAGTGTTTACTAAGAGCACAATAATTAAAATCCAGTAATTTATAACTAACAGAGAAAATGTTGTAGACAAGATTTGGAAAAGTCTAGGGTTATGATTTCCCCAATTGTTGGAATCTCTTCTACTACATTTCCTATAAATTCACCTAAGTATTCTCTACCGATTGTGAGTACTTGGGTTTTGTATTTCTTTCTCGAGCAACTACCACAATTTACTAGATGTATTCTCACGAACTACGCTAGCTGACACTAATTCACTGCTCACTAGGATCTCACCAAAGTTTCGTTATTTCTAATCTTGCCTTTATACCCTCCGTATTGATTTCTCAAATACTTTAGGAGTGGTGTTGTTCAACAACTACCTAAATTCTTACTCTCTCTCAAGTAGTGCACACTAATAAGCACAGTTAATTGAGATCTTTCAATCAAAAACAACGAAAGTATAATTGAACAAGTAGAGAAAGATCAACGGCAAATTTATATTAAACGCAGTGGAAAATCAACCTTCAATAGGTTCCATCAAACCCTAGATGAGAGATTTTAGATACTCACAAAATGTATAAACAATCATTATGATGTTCAAAGACATTAAACTATAAATTTAAGAGAAACGGAGGAAAAACTCGTTCGGTTCCTTGCTCCACAATGCTCTGTAGCCTTTTTCTTCTCCAAAATAATGTCCAACCCTTTCTCAACTCGTTTAGGGAGTATTTATATGTTAGGGTCAAGTTTTGACCACCCGGCTACAGACTTCGTGAGCCCAGGCTTATAGCGCGACCAACCTAGCTACAGAGCTGGCTACGCCTGGTTTGTAGCATAGTCAAGTTGGCTATGATTAGCCTGTAGCACAGTAAAGCTGGCTACAGAGTTGGTTACGCTTGTCCTATAGTGTGATCAAGCTGGCTACAGAGTTGGTTGCGCTTGGCCTATAGCCACGCTTGGGTACTTCGTATTTTTATGCTCTTTTCTCTCATTTTAGTCCTCTTTTTGTGCAATTTTCATTCGACTCTTTCTTTCGATTCTCTTACACATAGAAAACATAATTTAGCTCAAAGGTCGCACAATTAACCACTAAACCAACAAAATATAGGGCGTGTAATATACTAAAAGTCTAGCATTTTGGCCAAACATCAATCAGGCTCCAAGTGTATTGTCGGTACATCCCGTGATCATGGTTTAGCCTGAGGTCAGGCCAGTGGTATCATAGGAGGAGCAGAAGAGGCTAGAGAGGTTCAATAAGTACTTTTCTCCTAGTTTCAGTGGTGCAACTTCTAAGGATGCATAGGGTTTTCACCAAGTGTCGCGTATTCTACGCACTATGGGAATACTGAAGGTGAGTAGGGTCGACCTCACTGCGTTTTAGCTGACAGAGTCGACATATAAATGGTGGAAGACTTATGAAGAGAGTAGGCTAGCTGGCGCAATGCAACTTACTTGGTCTTAGTTCACTAATCAGTTTTTGAGGGAGTTCGTTACACAGACCATTTAGGATACATTGCGCATCGAGTTTGAGTAGTTGCACCAGGGGAATATTACTATGTCTGAGTATGCTATGAGGTTTAGCGAGTTATCTCGTCATGCACATTCTTTGGTTTCTACAGTCAGAGAGAGCGAGAGAGTCCACAGATTTATTGAGGGACTTTATTATGGTCTTAGATTTGGGATGGCGCGGGAGTTGGAGACTGATACTCCATTTTAGTAGGTTTTGGAGATCACTGGGAGGTTGGAGCGTATCCTTGACCAGGACAGAGAGGATAGAGAGGCCAAGAGGCCTCGATATTTTGGAGTATTCAGTGGTAGCCGCTCTGCAATATCAGCTTGTCATGGCAGAGGCTTCATCACTCGACCGGTTTAGTCTGCACTTTAGGTCACTCGTAGTGCTCCAGCCATTTAGGGACCTCAGAGCATTCATTTTGGTCAACCATCTTCTAGTGCACCTCCTGCACGGGGTGCCTACAACGGTTATTCTAGCCGCCCGGGCCAAACTCAGTACAAGTAGCCACGCCTTCAGAGGGGATGTTTCGAGTGTGGTGATACTAGGCATATGGCGATGGACTGTCCTAGAATTAGGAGCGGTGGAATTCCACAAGGTACTCAGGCTATAGTTGCTGCTCCAGTTCCTACTCCACCTACATACACAACCTGCTAGAGGTGGAGGACATGCAAGTATAGGATTCCCTATCGGGGGAGTCTAGGCCCGTTGTTATGCCTTTCCTAGTAGGACTGAGGATGTTGTATCAGATGTTGTCATCACAAGTATTGTTTTGGCCTATCATAGGGATGCATCAGTTTTATTTTTTTCGGGCTCCACTTATTCATATATGTCATCTTACTTTGCTTGATAATTGAATATCTCTCGTAATTCTTTGAGTACCCATGTTTATGTGTCTACGCCTGTTGGGATTCTATTATGGTAGACCACGTCTATCATTTGTGTTTGATCAATATGGGGAGTTATGAGACTAGGGTTAACCTTTTGTTACTCAATATGGTAGACTTTGATGTGATTTTGGGCAAGGACTGGTTGTCGCCATATCATGTTATTCTGAATTGTAACGCTAAGACGGTGACGTTGACTATGACGGGGTTATCGAGGTTGGAGTGGAGAGAGGTACATTGGAACATGTTCCTAGTAGGGTAGTGTCTTTCCTGAAGGTACAATGCAATGTTGATAAGGGGTGCCTGGCATATTTAGCCTTTTTGAGGGATGTTATGATAGCATCAAGGACAAGGATAGAGTTTTGGAAGTTCCAAGAATGCCAATTATAAGATCTCAAGC